GGGGTGGTGGCTTGGGATTAACCGGGGCGGGGGGCGCCCGGGGGGAACCCGAGAGCTTTATGGCTCTGCTGCCTATAAAGCCCTTTCCCTCCTTCTGTTCAGGAACCATAAAACCCCACACAATTGCCACGGGGGGGGCGAGGAGGGAGGAAAAATCATAATAATAACAGAGCGGCCGCCGCCGAGGCAAGCCGGACCCGGCGGTGCATCCGGCTGCAGGGCCGGGGGCTGCGGGACCCCCAGAGCAGGGCCATGCGGGGCCCGGCCGGCCGGGAAGAGGGGCCACCCTCTGGTATTTATTTTGGGGGGCCCCCGAGCTGTTAAGGGGCAGGAGGGGGGGCCGGGGGCAGCGAGCGTTAACGCGGCACAGGGAGGAAAACCCCAGCGTGTTGTCAATTTTATGGGTAATAAAATTTCAAAGCCGCCCGAGTCTATTAATGCCTGGGAAGGAAATTCGTCGGGGGGCTGCGGGAGGGGGGGACAGCGCCTCACACTTCCCTCCCTTCCGCTCGCCCTTCGCACCCGGCCCCCCTAGCCCCGCTGCCCGGAGGTCCCGCAGCCCCCCGCGCCTCGGGGGTCCCGCAGCCTCATCCCACCGCTGGAGCAGGTGGAGCCGGGGCCGGACACGCGGGGAAACCGAGGCACAGAGAGGTGAGGGGTGCAGCCACCCAGGCACCCCATCCGTTCTCCCTCTCCTCGCCCACAGACTGACAGATGGACGGACAGAGCCACGTCACGGTGCAGCAAAGCCCCCGCGCCCCGTCCCCTCGCTGCCTTCCCACCAGGGACCACCGCGCCGGCCGTGGGCAAGCCCAGGGCGGTGGGCACTTGCCTGTCCCCAGCACACCCTGCCGTCACCCTGCCGTCACCCTGCCACGTGCCGCGGCAGGAGGTGAGCAGTGGCACCCACTGCCTGGCAGGGCCCTGGGGACCGGGAGGTCACCGTGCCATCTGCCCTGTGCCCCCAGACCAGTCCCAGTGCTGGTGCTGGTACCAGATCCCAGTTCCCAGTGCCAGGTCCCAGCGCTAGTGCTGAGTCCCAGTCCTCAGCACTGAGTCTCAGTCCCCAGTGCCACGTCCCAGTCCCCAGTGTCAGGTCCCAGGCCCCAGTACTGAGTCCCAGTCACCAGTGCTGTGTCCCAGGCCCCAGTGCCAAGTCCCCATTGCCACTACTGAGTCCCAGTCTCCAGTAGTGAGTCCCAGGCCCCAGTGCCAGGTCCCAGTCCCCAGTACTGACTCCCAGTTCTCAGTGTTGGGTGCCAGTCCCCAGCACTGAGTCCCAGTCCCCAGTACTGGGTCCCAGAGCCCAGTGCCGGGTCCCAGTCCCTGCTACCAGGTCCCAGCACCCAGCAGCCATTCCCACTGCCATCTCCCAGTTCCCGGTGCCCTGTACCGACTGCCGGCCGGGCTGTCCCCGTGTCCCCGGGACTCGCACGGAGCCACCCAGGGGATAGGATGGGGGTGTGTGTGGGGGGACGGACACGGACACTGGTGGGGTCTGCAGGTCGGTGCGCAGGGCGAACGCGGGGGGAGCCCCAAGGGGAACCGGGCAGCCCCGGGAGGGGGGGAACGGGGACGGGGAGCCGCGG